CATAATAATATATAATTACACAAAATAATATTGTAAATAAAACAAATGCCACAACTTATTACGTAGTTTTATTTTAAAATCATAATTATAATTTCATAATAATAATGTATAATTAATTCAGCCTTATTTAGGACTTATACTATTATGGATACAATGCAATAAGGTGTGAATCCATCAGTTAATTTAATTCGATCGATACTATATATTCACAGCAACATATTATAACAATAAGTATTTATACAAGCTACATAACATAGTGCCCATATCTTCGCAAGTGCTTAGCGCGTTCGGCTGCGATCTTTAAAGTTAAACAACTTTCGCAGTGGTCGGTCATTAGATGGGTGTCCATAAGTTTACTCTCTCGAGCTCCTCCGTGCTTCGGAAGGCACGTTAAGCCGTTGGTCCCGGCTGCATCTGCAGTCGTTAGCACTCACTAATCCGCACTGGACTCGCGTGGTGGCTCATGGCCCAATCTCCCTATTCCATCCATAACGAAGCCCCTGTGGCCCAGCAGTGGGGATATTAATAGGCTGATGATGATGATGAAGGATATACTGCTGTCAAATATACAAATAGCTACAACGCATTCTCTTCGAGTTGGCAGCTCTCACTGTACCGCACTCTTAGAAAGTCCCGCATCTACCGAACCCTTTAGTAGTTAAAACGATCAGTTATCATACGTCCACCCTCCCGTCCTCTAATCGTAGGTCCCTCCGATTCCGTCGGCCTAGGCACGTTTTAGACTACTCCGACGACGAAATCACCAACGCCAACGCACCTCCGATTCCTCCCACACAGGCCACAAACACCAACACTACAAAGCTAGCAAACGTGTACACTAGCTTAGCATTAGGCAGACACCGCACCCGTAGGATAAGAGTGCGAAGACCCGGTCTACACACGACACGCTATACCAGGTACAGGTACCTGGGCGTTTTTCCCCGCCCCCCATGACAACGGCTAACTAGAGCCGAGGTCCGAGTCTCAGAGACGCCCTCTAGTTGAGTCGACCCCCTCAGGTTCGAGTGGTCTAGAGGCTCCAGACGGAGAGGAGACTCCCCCCGTGGGGAGACGCCATCCGCCTGGAATACCTCTAGAGGCACTCGCCAAGTCTCGGCTTGAGGTCCCCTTAAGTTCTCGCCCAAACCCAGTGACGCTGTAAAGGTCATCTGCGAGTCTGCGACAAACAGCATACACACTCAAAAAAAAAAAGAAAAAAATTGGCCCTTGATATGCCTGTGACACATTTCCAATTCGAAGCGAACGAGAGAGAGCGGGAAATAGCTTTGTGAAGTGCTACAGATCGCGGCAAGGAACTCATGCTGGGGGGATAGCTGCGCATGGGTACGACTGGAGAGCCAATCGGCGCAACGCACGCGCGGGCACCTCGTTTCCCCCCAACACGTCTTAATTTTTACTTCTACGCAATGATGGTCAGCGCTAGAGTTTCGTGCCGCGACTTATAGCATTACTACGAGATCTTATATAGTAACATTGTTTCAACCTCATAAACTAAAACAAATCTTTACCTCTGTTGTAGTTTGGTCAAAGCAGAATACAGATTTATAAAATTAATTGAATCATCAGCATGGCGTAATCATGTGATGTGATACAGTGACATTGGTGTTAAACTCAAAAAGGGTCCATAAATTGCTGCATGATATCATAATGTGCTGTTTATAACAACTTAAGGAGTAGAATCGTAATTGAATTAACGCCATTCATCATAATCGATACCAGAAAAATCGATTACCGTGAATTTTTACAAATAGTTTTTTTTTAATGATTGTTAATATGAATGATTATTATTAAAGTGTTAATGTAATGAGAAGTGGTAGAAATAAAGAAAATTATAATAATACTGAAGAGGGTAGCATTTAGAGGGCCATACATTGGTTGAGGAAAACAATAATAAATGAAAATATGGCTTTTGTATTTTTCAGTTATTGGATTATTTAAGTTACACTGGCTCGTTTTATTACATAGCCAGCGACTTTTGAGTTTTTGAGAATTCCACAGTAAACTTTTTCCTGGGTTAAATAGTATCTTCTCTCTCATTTTAGATCATCCACTATAAGCGTACCAAATTTCTTCCAATCTAAGTCAGTAGTTTTTGATTTAGAAACAAAAATATCAATATATTAAAAATGCGAACGTCTATACTTTCGCATTTATATTTTTAGTAGGGGATACGATGTTGATGTGGCATTCCTGGGAGTATTTCTGTAAATTCACAAGTAGTAGATCACTGTTAGAAATATTCTTAGCAGTGACGAGCTCTCCATATCATTCACAAAAACAGTCTTAGAATAACTCAAATTTTAAAATCAGTCGAAATTTAGCTTGTAGTACTATTTGCATATGAAATGTCCCATTCTTGCCTGGAAAGAAGAATAGAAGTATTGAACCCTCTAACTAACCAGTCGTGCTCAAAGAGTTTAACTAATGCAATCATGACTGGAAACCTTTGATTATATACACGCCAAGATAGAGCAATTTAAATAAACCACGCAAAAAAAACACATCATTTTACGCATTACGCACAAAAATATCTACTCCATATGGTAGATAAGCGATGAGCATACCTACCATATGTAGTAGATATTGTTTGTGCCGTTAATACGGTATCTAGGTGTGTATGTAACTAAAGCTGGAAACATTGTAAGTATCTGGTGGGCCTGATGCAAATTCCACATTTTGGTGGACACTGCTAACCTAGCCTAGTGCTAAAGAGACTTGTCAATTGAAAGCTGAAAAGTCTTGCACCAGGAAAGAATGACTGAAACTAAAATGTGTAAGTGTAGAAGAAAGATTGAATAAAAAATATATATGATCTTAAATATTACTCATATTTCACTGTGTAAATAATAATAATTTTAACATAATTTCATTGATCTTAATTACATATTACAAAAATCATAACTTCTATGATGGCATTATTATAAAATTGATCATCACATTGTTGCATCATTCAATTATTGTAGCTCACAAAGAAATACTATAAGACAAACCAATCATTATAACAACACCTCCGTACCATCAATTATTTTCTACAGATTGTCACCAATCTCACATTTAATTCAATTCATGTATTGGTTGGTAGCTTGCCTCAAAATTAGGCATGTCTAAAATGCCTGGTTTGGTGTACTTCATATTTATAGAACAGAATAACGATTTGTCTATTTAGCAATAAAAGTGACTAGTAGGATGCCTAAATTTCTGTCATTATCATAACATAAAAAAAACTATTTCATTGCATTTCCAAAGCGTAGTGAGCTACAAACTACAGGTAATATTGACAACTCATACAATTTTAAATGTACAAACAACATTGTTTTTTTTTTTATTATTAAAAACACAATTATTCTATCAAAACTTATAGAATAGAATAACTTTACACTTTCAGGGCATAGAGCTTCTTAACAAAACTCACTTCCAACCCAATTGCAATTGTTGGTTTTAAAATTTTCAATTGTTTTCGCTGCATAGATAAAAACTTTTTTTTAGCCAGGTAGGCAAATGACTCTATCCCACCAGATGTAAAGCGTCGATAAAGTCCAAAGGCGAAGATAGCTGATATAGCGGTTATAAACTGCCACACCAACCATCCTCACCTTGCCGGCCTGCAAAAATGCTTCTTCACAACTCTCTTTAAATGTTCACACCATTTTAGTCTGCATCTGAAGTCTCTAATATGATACAGGTACTTGTGGCATCACATGTGTGTAAACACAGTGATTCTCCATCGTTTTCATCGGTTGCATCTGCGGGTGCTGCATCATATTAGGAATGGGAGGCTGGGGCTGTGGAGGATTCTGCTCGGGTGGTTTTTTATTCTTCTTCTCACATTTCTTAAACTTAATGCCGAGCTTATTTAACAATATTAACCGTAGAGATTCTTTGCCCCCTTTGAAGTTCAGTTCATGTTTAGCAGATGCTAAAATTTTGCCCAACGTAGGCACCTCTTTTCTCACCGAATAGCCATTTACTATGCCTCGAAGAGCACACAATTGGAAATAGTCGAGCTGCACTTTTGTTTTTCGTACGCGCTTTTTCTTGGGACCGGTCATCTTTGTTTGTGTCGCTTCTGCATGTAAACCGTCCCTTTTGATGCGTTTAATCGTACTTTCGGAGAGCCCTGTAGCCGCGCATGCCCTTTTAACGACATTTTCAACGGGAAAAGCGTAACCTCTATTCTGTTTTTCGCTCTCAAAGAACTTGATAACTTTGAAAATTATCTCTTTCGCTTGACCATCTATCGCCTCCTTTTTTTTCTTGTCGTTTTTAGGCTTTTTCTCTTCTGATTTCACTTGCACCTGCTGAGGTTCTGGCTGTACGGGTTGTATTGGCTGTTGCTGTTCTGGTGGACCTAGTTGCGTTAAAACTGTTTGTGTTTGATGCTGATGAGGGGGTGGTTGCATAGGTACTAACAAGTTTAACACAGGCACTTCATGCACCAGAGATTGGGACTGGTGTATTATTTCGTGGGTCGTCATATTGTATCTTTTGTACTAACACCGCTACTGGACTTAGACAATGTTTATTTATGTATGTACTCAGTTTTGTAAGAGCACTTTAGCAGCACTATTTACGAATTAGACATTAACAGTCAACAAAGCGCTGTTCCGTCGCCATTTGTCCGTAGACAAAATAGATTGTTAATTTGACATTAGTAGTGTTACGTTGTAAAGTTTTTATACCGTTTTTTTTCCTTTCGCACCGGGTCTGAATAATTCATAGACATAGTATCAAATGGTCGGAACCACAAGTTTGACAGCCTGAATGACGGAAGGAACTGTTTTCCATGCATTCTTTCTAACCAGTATAGTGTATCTATGAGTGCAAGAGCTGACGATGGTTTGACAATGCTGAGTATCGGTGTAAATTAAAGCCATCGAGTGTCCGAGTAATTCTATGGAATAATCGGTATGATCAATTCCCCCCCCCCCCTGACAAAACGTGAAAATAGCAATCTGTTTTCATTCACTCCCAAACCAAACCGATCATTCATTCACTGGGCTTGGAAAACAGCTGTGTTTATGTTTGGTTTGGAAATGTAAAAAGTTAATACAAAAAACAAATTTTATTTCAAAATGGATGACTGCTCTGAATTTGCGTTGAAGAAGCTTTGTTGTACATGCCTTAGTTGCGACCGCAAATTATCACAGTTATGTAGACTAAAAGATGGTATAAATAATTTATATTTAATATTATCTCAAGATTCTGAAGCTTACAGGGTAAGTATTTTATTAATATAACTTTATTAAACTTATTTTGTAAAATTAATTATAATTTAAAAGCAGTACTTGCTCATAAGTACAAGTTTCAAAATTTTAATCTTAGCTAATAACAAAGTTACATACTTTAAAAATAAAGTTTTTTGGAGATGTTTAACCGCTGCTCCCCACTAGCGGAATAGAATAATAAAACGGCGATATGTCAACTTATCAGCACTATATTTGAAAATTATTCACAATTATAAAAATACAATTTGTAAGGACGAAATTTTCTTCTGAAGTTTCTTTTTTGAATGACAATTAAAAATTCAACAGAAAATATCAAAAAGAACATAAATATAAAACTTAATTTCTAATGTGCCAGTGCCTACGGAATGTCCACAGACACTGGCTGTATGGCGACATGGACCAACTTTTATGCTGTGCTAAGTCACCACAGTTTCTCACAACCAATAAAAGAAGACAGACAGCATTGGGTTTAAAGCAAGACTAAGTTTAGTCTAGTTATAATAAGGTGGTTTTTTCATATCCCACATTTATTTAATCATCATTATCTTACTGTTTTTCTTGTCAGGAAGGTTTCTTCAAAGACACAGCCAGTTGGTATATCTGCTGGGAATGCTGGGCCATCATGAAGAGGATCAGCAACTTCCAGAATCAAGCTTGTATTGCTCAGCGACAGCTATCTGACATTGCCGAAGGGAGGACTGATGTAAGATTATAAATAATAAATAAATAAATATTTCCAAGACACACCAATTAGCCTAGCCCCAAAGTAAGCACTGTAGGCTTGTGTTATGGGATGTTAGGGTAACAAATAGAATACATATACTGATACATAAATAAGTATATTTATATAGAAATACATATTAAACATCCATGACTAGAGTACAAATGCTCGTGTTCGTCACACAATCATCTGCCCCCACCGGGATTCGAACCCAGGACCTCTAGAGTAGGCGAAACCTTGGAATCCAGTGCACAAACCATTCGGCCACGGAGGTTGTCTAATATTATATATAATATAAATGGGTATTATTGACTTTTTTCCCCTGTCCATACTTATCCTAAAAGGTAGTTAAACTTACATTCGGGCTGTAAACAAAGTATACTCCCAAGTCACACCAGATATTTCAGTTTTCATTAATTAATATTATTTTCTAAAATAATTCATTGAAAGAAAATCCTTAGTAGAATTCTTTATATATTTCAGTTAACCAAACCTAGCAGTCTTATGAATAAATAAAAATGTATATTGAAAAACATACTTGTGAGAACAGAGCTTGTAAAAGATCCGGAACATCAGGAAATTATAAAAATATCGAAAAGCTCAGTTTAAAACCCATTGAGCAAAAAAGTGCTTTATTTAAAAATTAAATTTAAGATTATCAGAACTAAATCAATCAAGTAAGCAGCTTTTGTGTCCGTCTATGATGCTGCTAAAGAATAACGATACAGTTAATAAACTTCTATTGGATTCGTCTATCAAATTAATAAAGTACAGAAGAATGCTGATTATCCTAATTAATCAGGACCGGGTCGATCCAGATAATCGGACATAGACTGGTAATAAAGAAAAACGAACTGTCACATAGAATAAACCTTACAAGTTAAACAAACACAGTTCTACAATACTAAATACAATAATAAAGGTACATAGTAGCAAAAAAAAACGCGCCACGCAAAATATGTACCTAGTGTCTTGCCTCTAACTTTCAACCAGTGATGCCAACTTAGCAACTTTATAGCTAGATCTAGCTATTATTTGGTATCACACAGCTACAATTTAATAAAATTTGTAGCTAAACTATTTAGCTATTTTTTCTAGCAACTTTTCATTTCATGAGAGATTCATAGAGTAGGGTACCAAATCTTTAACGAAAACTAAAAACTGAACGCGACTATAGATAGATTAAAGATACTATGGTATCGGTCGTAGGTCGGCCTTAGCCGGGAATTCCCCATTCGTGGGTACTTATTTACTAAACCAAAGTAGTACGCACCACTCGTATTCTACCCAATGTTTTTTTTATCCATATAAAACTAATAAATTGGATTAACCCTTGAGAAAAAAAAACATACGCCCACAAACAGACTCAAGCAAAGTGTTTTGTACTTATTGTTCTACGGAAATTCTTCTTAAACTATTTGACATAAAGAAACATACTAGGACAAAAAACTTAGACAGAAAGTAGAGTTCCAAACGGGTACGTGAATTTTAAACTCGTTTTGTTGAAAGCAGACTTTTTTGATGGGAAAAATTAGCATGATAATTTTAGTTTACAAATTTTTCTTTTTATAATAAAGGTCTCAAACTCACTTTTATGCGTCTGCGGTCAGTGTTGATATCCCTTCTTGTAATATAGTATCTTTTTTACCTACTGGCAGATTTAGCTACTTCTAGCAACTTTTTGGGGTAAAAAAACGGACAATCTAGCAACATTTTGTAAGATGTCTAGCAACTGGGCAATGCTAGTAGTTGGCAACACTGCTTTCAACCATAAGGGTGCGGCCAGAGTGCACTCAGATTCAGATTCTGAAAACAAGCGCGAGAAATAAACAGTGTAGTCTAAGGGTGCGGCCAGAGTGCACTCAGATTCAGACTCAGATTCAGATTTCGAAAACAAGCGCGAGAAATAAACAGTGTAGTCTAAGCAGGTTGCTTGCTTTTTCTCGCGCTTTGTTTTCTGAGTCTGAATCTGAATCTGAATCAGGAGTGCAATCTGGCCGTACCCTTCGACTACACTGTTTATTTCTCGCGCTTGTTTTCAGAATCTGAATCTGACTCTGAATCTGAGTGCACTCTGGCCGCACCCTAAGATGGTTGCCTGCTTTTTCTCGCGCTTTGTTTTCTGAGTCTGAATCTGAATCTGAATCAGGAGTGCACTCTGGCCGTACCCTTCGACTACACTGTTTATTTCTCGCGCTTGTTTTCAGAATCTGAATCTGACTCTGAATCTGAGTGCACTCTGGCCGCACCCTAAGATGGTTGCCTGCTTTTTCTCGCGCTTTGTTTTCTGAGTCTGAATCTGAATCTGAATCAGGAGTGCACTCTGGCCGTACCCTTCGACTACACTGTTTATTTCTCGCGCTTGTTTTCGGAATCTGAATCTGAGTGCACTCTGGCCGCACCCTAACACATGAAATATATCTGGACTCCAGCTAGTTCCAACTTGTAACAGCAAAGCAAAACAAAAATAAGTTGGTTTTAATTTTTTATGTAACGCTTAGGACTGATTCGGATAATTGGCGATTCGGTTAATCGGCGTTATACTGTAGCTACATTTTATAGAAAATTTAAATTTCTGTTAGAGCCATGTGAGTTATGATTACACAGGTGTACCAAAGCATAGGCAGCCAGGTAAAGATACTTTGTTGTATGTGATTGAGACACTTCAGATTACGTATTTAAATAATTTATCTGTTTTCAGCTTAAGCACCTCAACACATGTTTATCGCAACTAAGATACACACACAAATCTTCATATGACCAAAATATCGTGATACCGGACTCAATAGCTGACAATTTCATTGACTGCGGACCTGATTTTAGAAATGAGAGTGACGAAGATATACCTCTGTCTCTGTTACACACCAATGTAGCAAGTGACCGAATACATTCAGATGATGAAATGCCACATAGTGGGTCCAAAGACGTTATTAACAAACCTCTTTCCAAAAAAGAATTAAACAAAACAGCTGATACTTTTAAGAAAAAAAAGAACACAGAACCTTTGGTGATTGAAAAAGATCTCAATGGTAGTATGTATAACGACTGCTTTTCTATAACAAAAATGAATGATGTGGAAATGAATGATAGTAGATCAAAGAGAAAATCTGCTGTGTCAAATGCGTCATTCAAATGTGAGTCTTGTGCTGTGGTATTTGAGAATCAAATTTGTTTGGATAGACATATAGTAGATTCTCATACTGAGGTAAGTGGTTATGGCTTGAGCATTGGTTAATTATGACCTGGTCATTAGCATCGCCTGTTAATGTCTCCACTGCTGGGGCACTGGCCTTCCCTATGGATGGAATAGGGAGATTGGGTCATGACCCACCACACGGCCCAGTGCAGATTGGTGGGTTCTAACGACTGCAGATGCAGCTGAGACCAACGGTTTAACGTGCCTTCCGAACCACGAAGAAGTGAGAAACACTGTTTTTGGTCACCCATCCAATGATTGGCCATCGCAAAACATTCATAATCACAGCCCAAATGACTGACTTTACAGGCTCCTCCTCAAGACTTAAGATTGATTGACCACCGTATAATTTGTTTCAGAAAGACAAGCATAAACAGTGCTATATCTGCCTTGTCTATGTCAAGAAGTCTACGTTGACAGCCCATAGAGATTCACACTATGTTAAGTATGAATGCAAATTATGTGAAAATGTTACATATACAATAGAGGATATTTTTAAGCATTTGGAAGACGTACACGCAAAGAATAACATCAATGTATCTAAGGATGACTTGAAGGTATGTATTACTATTGGGCTGTGTATTTCTATTGAAAACATTTTCCTTTAGTGTCGCCGCACACGGGCCACACGCCACAGCCACAAACGCCGCCACGAGAGCTAGAAGCGGCTACTTAAGTGGCTGAAGCGCGCGACAGCGGCCGACTAAGGTAAGGGAGAGAGGGGTGGGGAATCGCGCGAGTGACGTGTGGCGGCGTTTTGTATCGGCGCATTAAGTGGCCGGTGCGGGCCACAAGAAGCGAGCAACGACGATTTGTAGCGTGTGGCGGCCATACGAAACATACATAAAACGTATGAAAACTACAAGAAATATGCCGGCGGCGGCGTTTTGTGGTTGTGGGCGGTGGCCCGTGTGCTACACTTAGAGTCTGCAACTCATGAGTGGTAGGACAGTGCCATCTAGATCAGTGTTGCCAGGTTTCCCGATTTTACAGGAGAACTCCTGTTTTTCCTGAAATTTCTCCTGATCTACTCTTTTTCTACATTAATCTACTGTTTTCCTTAGAATAGGATTTTCTTTTTTAAATTGCATTTTGAGTTGCATTTTCTGCCAGTAATAATATCGGTAGGTAACCTCAATTATTTGATTTACCAATTCTGGCAGAGAGTTTTTGATTCAATATTTTTACTGAAATACACAACAGAATTTTGAATATCCACTTTTTATGGACTCCATAAACATTAGACGACCTCCTTGGTCGAGTGGTTTGTACGCCGGGTTTCATGGTGTCGCCGACTCGAGAGGTCCCGGGTTCGAATCCCAGTGGGGGCAGATGTTTGTGTGATGACACGAGCATTTGTACTCCAGTCATGGATGTTTAATATGTATTTCTATATAAATATACTTATATATGTACAGTATATGTATTCTATCCGTTACCCTAGTATCCCATAACACAAGCCTTATAGTGCTTAGCTTGGGACTAGGCTAATTGGTGTGAGTGTTGGAAATATTTATTTATTTATTCGTAAATAACTTGAGATCGTTTTCTTAAACTTGTCCAATACCCTGTTGGTGGCGTTAATTTTCCTAAACGCCCTCATTGTAATTTAAGTCGGAAAGCTAATTAAATAAATAAATATTTCCAACACTCACACCAATTAGCCCAGCCCCAAAGTAAGCACTGTAAGGCTTGTGTTAGTTATGGGATGCAAAGGTAACGGATAGAATACATATACCGTAAGTGAGGGTTACTTTAGCTCGGGCGGGTAACTTTGTCCCAAATCAGAAAAAATATTGAACTTGTCGCCCCATCAGTATCTCTTGGGTGACCGTAATAGTTCCAGTTGAAAATCACAGATAGCCATATATGCGCGTAGTGTGGTGTTGTTTAACCGACATCGTTCCTGTATCAAGTTGTCATTGTAACGCGGGATTTTTTGTAACTGAAATAGTTCGCAAGTTCATGCGCAAACTTTCTCAAAACTGTGGGTTTTCGGTAAGTTTACAATTTTTTCTTTAACTTAATTATTTTTGGGTAAAAACTTCCATTTGTGTATACAGTATGCTAATGGTGATCTATTATAAGGGTGACTTAACCCCAACATGGCTTAAAATGAGTTTTTTTCACAGAGAAAACTCAACGAGCTAAAGTAACCCTCTTTAGGGCCAACTTTGGTCCAAAATTAAAAAAATATATATGAACCCTTAAATATTATTTTTTCCTATTTTCGTATGATAACTTTGTAACTTATACTTTAAAGTTCACAATGGAAAGATCTAAATGTGACATATTCATCACAAAGAGAAGCTACAATTTTATTTGAAAAAAATAGTGCACATTTTAGGTCAAAGTAACCCGCAGTTACTCGGTACTGTACTTAAATAAGTATATTTATATAGAAATACGTATTAAACATCCATGACTTGAGTACAAATGCTCGTATTCATCACACAAACATCTGCCCCCACCGGGATTCGAACCCGGGACGTCTCGAGTCGCGCGACACCATGAAACCCGGCGTACAAACCGCTCGGCCACGGAGGTCGTCAGATTTAGTGTGAGTGTAAGATATATTTATTTATTTACTTAGAGCTCTTGCATCGTGGGAAAAGTGATGATCTGCTGCTTACTATGTTTTCATCTCGCTCTCAACCCAGCGTTTGGTCTCTTATTTATATATTTACTAGCTGACTCAACGAACTTCGTACCGCCATAAAAATAGGGGCAGGTGGTAGAAGAGAAAATTTAGGGCTGTACGTATTTTTAATAACACATCATAAAAAAAAATTGTCAAAAAAATTTTTAGGTGTGTGTAACGTAGTGTTCTATCAATTTCCTGGGATAACATTCCTCCTTACCCATATGAGAACACTACGATACAATACCCAATAGTTTGAATATCGGCGCGAAGGCGTAATGTAGGTTTCAGTACACTACGTTACAGGTGGACAACCATTAAAAAAAAAGTCAAACCCATAACTTAAACACGAGATTTAAGAACAAGCTTGCCGTTCCATGTTTCAGACTCCAAAAATCTAGAGGTTCATTTCTGGGATGTAGTATTGCATTGTTTAACAAAGTTCCCCAAGATCTGATTGAGCTTCCACTAACGAAATTTAAATCTCAGATTAAGAATACTCTTATGAATAAGGGCTATTATAAAGTTAATGATTATCTAAATGATCGTAATGCATGGACATAGTGTTTCTTGTAATTTCTTATTTGATGGGTATAAGTCAGTTTTGTAACAGTAGTATGGTACCTATCTAATGCCGCTTCCTATATATACTAAATATAAAATTTGTTGTAACTATATATCTATACCCTAAATAATGTAATGGAAGGTGACTTCAGAAGTATGTCTGAAGTCATTTTTCAACTTGACGACTCTGTATATATCAATACAGGGAGAAAAAAGCAGCCCTTGCTGAGTTTCTTGCCGGTTCTTCTCAGTACAAGGTCTCCCGCCGTAGTTTTGCGAACCGATGGCGTAGCTTCTTGACTTTCACAAGTGATTGTAACAGCCTAGACTGAATAAATGATATTTCATTTCATTTCATTATCACTTAAGGATATGAAAAATAGATAATAGCCGATTCTCACACCCACAGAATATGCATATAAAATTTCATAAAAATCGGTCAGGCCGTTTCGAAGAACGGAGGGTAATAACATTGTGACACAAGAATTTTATATATAAGATTTATACGTTTGTAGATTTCTAGAAGAACGCGTAAAGTGCTCAGACCCGGTACTAAGTCTCGCAAGAAACCACCAATTGTGGACAAAAGGCCAACTCAAGGGTACTCATGTATGGAATGCAATAAATATTTCGAGTGAGTATTGAATAAGCTAATTGATACTATGAAAAATAAAGTACCAATTGTTGTTATCTCTTATCTAATAGACAAGTCCGTCCGTCCGTCCGTGGTGCTGTTTCAGCGGCCAAACCGTAAGAGATAGATATAGAGAATGTTTAAGTTATAAGTTAAGAATAGTCTGATAAGACTACAAACCGGATGTGAGTAACGTAGCACTTCCGGTTTTCGAGAAATCACGTGATTTCTATTTCAAACGAAACCACACAAAATCTCCGAAGTTCTCAATTAATTAAATACATTTTTTTTTTGGTGAACATTTGGTTCACTGGTTTGCTAGTCTGTATTTAATACGAATATTAGCAGCTATTTTACTATTCAGAAAGAACAAATAATTAATAACTTTTGTGTTAAATCAATCAGTAGAACTGATTTTTTGCTCCATAATCACGTGACGTAACTTCCGGCCAAAGTGACATTGCATTGTATCGTTTGACGTTTTAATGACAGTCGTGTGACGTCATATGCTAGTGAGACGCCATAATGTCCAGAGAAACTCTAAAAGGGAATTATTGATTTAGTTTTTCTTACTAAAATGCTAAACAAAATCTCTTATCTATTAGACAAGTCCGTCTGTCTGTGGTGCTGTTTCAGCGGCCAAACCGTAAGAGATAGATAAAGAGAATATTTAAGTTATAAGTTAAGAATAGTCTGATAAGACTACAAACCGGATTTGAGTAACGTAGCACTTCCGGTTTTCGAGAAATCAGGTTTTGGTGAACATTTGGTTCACTGGTTTGCTAGTTATGAATATAATTTGATGGACTACGTAAACATAGGTAAATAATTCTATTTTTAGTTTTTAAGCACTTAACTACTAGATGTTCAAATCTAAAGAATTTTTTCTAGTAAAAATTTAATTTTTTCTAGTAAAATTGTTTTTTGTAGTAAAATTTTAATTTTTTTTAGTAAAATTTAAATTTTTTCTAGTAAAATTTTAATTTAGTAAATTTCGTGAGATCGTTTTCTGAATCTTCTCAAATATCCCATTACTTAACATTATGTATACAAGATAGCAGAGATAGAATACGCTATAGATTTTTTATATTTATGGAAATATAAATAGTTTAATAATGACTTTCTCCAGCGATGTTACGAGTTACACACTCGTATTTTTATTGAGGATGAAGGAGGTGCTTATTTTCCCTCGTGAGGTACTCTCGAGGTCACCATTTACCCTCGTGAGGTACTCTCGAAGTCATAATTTTTCCTCGTGAGGTACTCTCGAGGTCCTCACTTTCCCTCGGGAGGTACTCTCGAGGTCATCATTTACCCTCGTGAGGTACTCTCGAGGTCCTCATTTTCCCTCGTCAAATACTCTCGAAGTCATCATTTACCCCCATGAGGTACTCTCGAGGTCATCATTTTCCCTCGTGAGCTACTGTCGAGGTCCTCACTTTCTCTCGTGAGATATTCTCGAGGTCCTCATTTTCCCACCTGAGGTACTCTCGAGATCCTCACTTTCCCTCGTGAGGTACTCTCGAGGTGTTCACTTTCCCTCGTGAGGTACTCTCGAGGTCATCATTTTCCCTCGTGAGTTACTCTCGATAAGGCAGAGCGTGCAAAGCGACAACGTTACGTTGGATATTCTTCGTTTTCATTTTTCGTACTATATAAGGGAGGGACACGCCCCCGCGGATGAAGGCGCCACCCCACGGAGGAAAAACAAAGAGGAGGTGTGGTGATTAAATTTCCTCAAGAAACGACGCGTGATAATTTGCGGGATGCGGGGTGTTCAGCTCCGCCCACTTCTCAATATTTCATCTATCGGCTAATAGCAAAACTAGCTTAGGTTGATATTTATGTTACTACGTAGTAGTTCAGCTATCTAACACTAGATGTCAAAAGTTTTGTATATAATGGGACGTACTCAGAACTTGAAGCTTCAAAAAAATGAAATATGTAGGTAAATAAATAAAATAAACGTTAACAAATTTGACCGATTTTAAAATTTTTAAGGTATCAACTTTATTATTTTAAAACATGTAACTGCTTGATGAAAAAAAATCCAGGCAGACCAGGCAGCAGACGGGACTCGAACCCGCACCCGATCCCGTCTGCTGCCTGGTCCGCGTGGATATTTTTCTAGTTATATTTTCTTTAGATTTAAATTTTAAGGTAGTTTAAAAATAATAGACAAAATGTTATTACAAACATAATTTTATTAAAAAACATCAATTACCTGTAAATAATAGTTTTGGTTAGTTGTTGTAGGTTGGTTGCCCTATCGTTTAGTATTGTGGCAAAATTCTTAAAACGAATATCAATATATTTTTCTGCAATCGATTTCATCAGAAATACAACATGATTAACTGTAGGTGATTGGTCAAACATATGGTTGGCCGATTAATGTAATTTTAATGTATTCGATACAATTTTATGTTTACGAAAGTTAGGAGTATTCAAAGATTGCGATTTAACACAACGAATACTGCCTTCGGTCCGTATACATATTTTTATGACATCTCTAGATGGGAAAGTAAGACCACCCTTATTTTTAGTTTTTATCAAATCAAGGTCACTATCGTCGTAGTTATCAGCATATAATTCTTTGAGACAGCTCTCACATTTGATCTTGGAATGTAAATATTTGACCACATACCCAGAAATATATGCTACTATTTGACGGCGCAAATAGTCACCTATAGTTGTATTTAATTGTTCATCAAATTCCAATAACATATCGTCAGGAATAGGCTCGACATCCGTGCTATCCGAAGACTCGAAACTCATTTTATTTAAAATGCGATAACGTTCTGATGTAAAACTAATTTTTTGCACAGAAGATTCATTTAAAATGGAAATATCTTCTTCTTCTATGGTGTCCAATCCGGTCTATTAAGTTTTGAAATCCATTGCTGTTTTAAATTATCGTTGGATGGAAATCTAAAACGAACAAAAATAATTAAAATTTATTTACTTGGTAAAATAATTTAATACGTATTACGGCCCTGGATATTTGTAACGTATAAAAAGTTATTCTATATGACGACAGATGGCGGCCAGTTAGTTATATATTGATAAAATTACTGTTTTAGATACTAAAAGTTATTTAGGAATAAGTGTATAACAGTTTTCAGTATTTACGTATGATTATTACAATATACTACTGCAAAATTATACGTAAACTTGTGTATTTTCTTCCTAAAAGTGTCGCCATCTGGTGTCAAGTAGTAGAATTTTAACGCTGATAGCTGAGGCTGAGAATGTTCTAGAACTTATATATTTAATTACGTATAAAATTACTTACAAATGAAATGTGATGCCATCCATATTATCAGAACGTCTGTCTGAGTAACTTTGACATAGTAAAACACAAAACTTCATCCTTTTCTTGTTAAAAACGCAAAAAAACACTTATAATGCGAGTCTCGTTAAGTGTGCACCTGACGAACGCTGAAAGCATACTGACTTAGGCCCCGCCCACAATGATGACGTCAGGACCTAGTTGAAAATCACAGTGCACAGTTGCTTAGGCCAGCTCCTCTTTGTTTTTCCTCCGTGCGCCACCCGTTAGAAATTTTGAAAGATAGTCATCATGCTTATCAGCCTATTAATGTCCCCACTGCTGGGGCACTGGGAAACTTAAGGCTTTACGTGCCTTCCGAAGCACGGAGGAGAGAAAGATAATAAGGTTTTGGTCACCCATCTAATGACCAGCCATTGGTATGAGTGTTAGAATGTTTATTTAATCATTTAGTTCATATAGAAAGTTATATAATGTTTAAATGTAAAGAAAATTTACTATAAAAAGTTGCACGCGGACCAGGCAGCAGACGGAACTAGAACCCGCACCCTTCGCCATCCGGGCGAATACACTAACCACTATTGGTCACGCCATAAAACAAAACAAATTCCCGGCGCGGATGTGCGATTATATACAAGAAGAAAACACAAAAACTAGAGGGAAACTGTGGGAAAGGGGGTACCTGTTGGTTTGTTGGGCTGGTTCCTTGACGCCTGTTCTTCCTGTCCTGGAAATGTTCGCCTGTGGCGCGCCACTATTTCTTTTTTACACTAATGTTCGCGGGATGTTCGCGGGCCCCGGGGCGGAAATATGTGTAGGCGAAAAGCGTCTCCGGAGCGCGGTTTTTTCTCGTCGTGGGAGTTTCTTGGTGTCTCCTCTCGGCGATCAGAGCACACACAGGCCGTTGCCCTTTTTTCGTCCGTTGGTTCGAATTGCAGCGATGGCAGCGCCGCGGACGAAGTCGACAACAGGTGAGTTTAGAGGAAGGGATAAGGTAAATGTGTTTTCGCAAGCTTACGATAGATGGCGTTAACATATCCACCCCCCCTTAAAGGGTCACCTTTAAAACAATCATAATAAAGGCGAGAATAACAATAATCCAAACACTTACTTGTGTTATAGCGAATTAAGCGGAATTTACTAATTGACTAAAATATATATACTTACATACATTAAACTACATATTATACTTAATCTTAAATTATTATTCTAATTTTAGTGTAAAGTGTAGTTGTGATAAATATGTTATTGAGTTGGTAAAGGACATAAACGCACAACCGGGCGTGTATACGTTCCTCGAGGGGTTCTGACAGTAGCTACGCGCACGATACCATCCTTAGAAGGGTGAATTTTTTCTACTACTGCCAGAGGCCAAGAGAGAGGTGGCGCATTATCTACTATTATGACCACTATCACGCCGAGGGTGATAGGAGCGGAGAGCGTATTCCACTTCTGTCTAACTTGAAGGCTGTGGAGATATTCTACACTCCATCGCTTCCAGAACGACTGTACCAACTTGTCTAATAAAGAATGTCTCTGAAGTAGAGAAACGTTATCTGTAACCTCAGGTGCGGGTAGTGACGGTAAAGGGAAATTATTTAAAAAATGGCTGGGAGTCAAAGCCGTAGGCTCCGAAGGATCCGAGCTTAACACGGTAAGTGGACGCGAATTTAGTAAACATTCTATCTGTGTTAAAACCGTAAGCAATTCC